CAACAAGAAGTAAGCATAGGTTAATTATCATCCACGCATATTAATCAAGAATCGATGCTCGATTAATGTTTTTGAATTGACAAACAAAAGTTTTGTAAAAAGGACTTGTTGGTGGTGGTGGGGTGGTGGTGATGGTGTGGTGGGTAGGTCGCTGGTCGTCGCCGGCGTGGTGGAAGTCTCGCTGGCCGGTGTCTCGGCGGTCTGGTGGCGGCTGGTGGCGGTAGTTGTGAGTTTTTTCTTTCTTTTTTTGTTTTTTTTTTTTACTTTTTACTTTTTTTTCGTCTTGAACAAATTAAAAATAGAGTTTGTTTGTATTTGGTTATTATTTATTGATAAGGGTATATTCGTCCTGTTTGGTCTTGATGTAATAAAATTAAATTAATTTACGGGCTTCAACTAATAAACTCCTTCATGTTGGTTTGAACTAATAAAAAAAGGGGAAATTTGCTAGACACCCCTAATTTTGGACTTATATGGGTAGAAGTCCTAGTTGCTAGATGAATATAGGCCTAGGTCCATCCACATAAAAAAATAATATAAATTAAATAATAAAAATAATATATAGACATAAGTACCCTTATTGAATAAACATATTTTAGGGGATTCAGTTATATACGTAAAGTTGGGAAATCAAATCCCACTAATCACGATTGAAGGCAGAGTATCGTGTAAGACGTTTGGAAAACATATCTTAGTCGATTCCAGTGGAATATGAGATCATCATGAATAGTTCGACAAACCAATACGAGCGTATTACAATTAAACACGAGAGTCGGTGTTGATAATCAGTTAACCCTTTTTTTGCCAGCAATCAACATGAAATTGAATTATACGAAAAGGTTTGTTAAAGGATGTTTGTTGTTTTGAATTTTCGATTTATGAATTGTCGTTTTTACAATTTAATTTTCGTTCAATATTGTTTGCAGTTTATCGTTCTCCACAAAATTGGTGTTCATGTATGATGTATTAGTATCGGTGAAGAAAGTGTCGGATGAAACGAGTTATAAGAAATTAGTTGATTTTGTTTGCTCGAAGTGGAGTTGCCTATGTCCGGGTAATTTTTCATTGACATATAATTTGTTAAATCACGGGGAATGCGTCCTGATGGATGACGAAGATGTTGGGGTGATGATGGATTACGTTGAAAAATTTTCAATCGACGAAGTATTTGTGAAAGTTACCTTAAAAGATGGTATGCTAGCAAATGATAACATGGATATTTTTGATTCACCAAATGAAAACCAAATTATGAAAATGCAACGTCAGCTCGAATTTCACCCGGAGGATCACAAAACGAAAGGACAATGTTGAGTGCAAAGTAGAGTTATTTAATACAAGATGTGGGGCAGGTATTTGAAGAGGGGGTAGAAAATTTTAGAAAATGTTTAGTAAAATTTGCGTATCAGTGCGGTTTTCAATTTGAGTATTTGAAGAATGACAGAAAAAGGGTGACTGCTGTGTGCAAACAAAAAGAAGCTAAAAATTGCCCTTGGAGGATTCATGCCACTGTAAACATAAATAATGGATTTTTTTACATAAGAACTTTCAATAAATCGCATACTTGTGGTGTGGCACTATGTCGTTCGAAAAAAATTAGAATGAGTACAGAAATTGTGGGTGAATTAATGGTTAGTGACGTACGAATCATGCCACAAATGACGCCTACCGATGTTGTACAACAAGTTAGGGATAAGTACGGAATAAACGTTACTTACTATGTTGCGTGGAACGCAACTGACAAAGCCAGGGGGCTGTTTTTGGCGACCACCGATCATCATATTCTGCGTTAATCGCGTATTTTAATGAAGCACAACGTGCCCATCCTGGTAGTGTGTTCGACGTACAATATGTCCAAGAGACGTTAGCATTCAAACGATGTTCTTTGCGTTTAGTGGATGCTTAATTGGTTTTCGTGCTTGTCGGCCAATGATACAAATTGATGGAACATTTCTTAAAGGCAAATTCGGCGGTATTCTTCTCAGTGCCGTGTCAAAAGACGCTAACGATGGTTAATAATTCAAAATTTATTACATATTTTTGTGGTAGTAACTGTGTGTACTGAATGTGTTAATGTTTTATGTTGAATGTGTTAAATGTGGTATGTTTTACGAGTTCTGAAGGAGTGTCAATCAAATTTTCCCTTTTGTATATATTGGTAAAACTGCAAATTGCAGATTGCAATCACGAACCAGTAACTGCGAAATGCAAACATCTGTGTTGTTTGTCTCACCATTTTTTTTATGTATTGTTTGATGCAGGACTTTTCCCTATTGCATTTGCTATAGTTAACGAAGAAAACGATGATAACTGGGACTGGTTTTTAGCATTGTTAAAACAGGCAATAAACGACGATCGTGTGTTCACGTTTATTTCCGACAGACAACATGGCATTCGGGTCGGGGTTAAAAAAGTGTTTCCAGACTCTTTTCACTCCTCTTGCCTCAGACACATGACAGGTAATTTGAACAACAAGTTTAAAGGGGTCCCAACTGGTTACAGGGAGGCAATCGTTAGCCAATTTATATCATGTGCATTTGAATTCTCAAAGACATCGTTCGACAAGAAGATTGAGAAGCTTAAAGCTAGTGGGTCAACCACAATTGTCAATTTTTTGAATGACTTGCCTTATCACAATTGGGCGAACGCATATTTCGAAGGGCAACGATATGGTGAAATGTATTCAAATGGAGTTGAATCATGGAACTCAAAAATCCTTGATTATCGCGACTTACCGGTTATGACTATGATAGATACAATTAGGAGTGAATTGATGAAATGGATGACCTCAAAGAGAGATAAATCATCCAAGTGGTCGACCATATGTTGCCCCAACTACGAGAAATCTTTGGGAGATCTTGAACTCGAATGTAGGACATGGAAAGCTGAGAAGGCTGCAAATGGTATTTACGAAGTTCTTAGTGACCCGTCCATGGTCGTAGATTTGTCACGAAAAACTTGCACATGTCGAAAGTGGCAGATACTTGGGTTCCCCTGTGTTCATGCGGTCTATGTACTGGTCAATGAGACGTCACAACCGTACGATTACATTGACAAATTATATTACGCAGAATATTACAGGGAATGTTATGCCTCACCCATTTATCCGTTTGTGAGACACAGTTCAAGGGATGATGAAGTTTGCGTTTGCCCTCCTGAATTTGAAACACGTCGTGGTAGACCAAAGAAGAAGAGGATACCGTCTGTTGGCGAGAAGATAAAAAGGAAAATAAGATGCGGGAGATGTAAAGAACTCGGTAATCACAACAAGAAGTCTTGTACAAATCCGATGTATTCTTAGGGGTGATGCTTTTTAGTTATGTTTTTATCTTCCATTTAAGAACTTTTGCTTTGATTTTCAAGCTTCTATTTTTGATTTTTTTTGTTTATTTATTATTATCTTATGTTGATGTTTTACCATTTTAAATGAAATGAACAATTTAGCAGGTGGTAATTTTTGATTAGCTTATGTCCATGTTTTGATTAGCTTATGTTCATGTTTTACCATTTTTGCAAATGGTAAATTTGCTACAGACCTCCAATTTGTGTTATAAACAGCAAACAACAAATACATACCTCCATCTTTTATGTTATAAACAGCAAACAACAAACAGCAAATAACAACTATAAACTTTTACATCGTTCAGTGAAAATGCCGACTTTGTTTGGTTCATTACATCGCTAGCTGCACTAGTTAGCACACAATATGTGTAAGACACAACGAAAATAGCAATTTGTCTAATTTGTTAACCTGTCCTAGTAAATAGCGAAAATTGAAACTGCAAACATAAAAAAGGTAACATAAACAACGAGAAAAGTACATCAAGGTATAGAATAATACAAGGATGTTTTAGCAACTGCAAAATTATAATTGTATCAAAATGCAACCAAATTAAATATCCAAAATAGCAAGAGTTCAAGGTAGGTTCTAAAATCTGATCATTATGCGCTAATCTAACTTCACAGTGTGTTCATCGTTTAAGAATTGATGAACAAAGTCACTTCGTAATGCGCATATCCCATTTTGTGCATCTTTAATGTCTAAGGGCTGTTGGCGACAAAATTGTCGTGCGATATAAAGGACGAACATCCCGCAGTCAACTGAATCAGGCTTTTGTTGTGGTGATGTCAAAACGGAAACTAATTTGGCATTTGACTTAATACCAAATTTCATCTTCCCATTTGCAATTTGCATGAAACTCTTCATTTCTTTGGCATCAACCAAGAATGGATCTTCTTTTCCGTCCAATCTTCTAGGCAATGAGGAGTTGAAATGCTCCCATGAACAGTTAATCCTATCATAAACAAGTAGAGTCCAGTGGGGTATTCTGCTCATGGGACCTTCACCTGAGTTTAACGGGAAAAGTAAGTAACGGAAATTGGTCACATCTTTTCCCTTCATGAAGTGTTGTACCATTTCAGTTGGGTTCATATTTTTTCGTATAACTCCCTGAAAAACATAAGATATTACCTACATTACAAATTTTGTGTTTAAGACTTATAAACAAGATTAGATTATATATACCAGAAGCAAGCTGGGGAATATCAGACTCTTCCCCATACGAGTGGGGTCTACGCCGCTTGCAAAATTTTGCTTCAACTAATTTTTTTGTTGCTTGCAGCTTTGCATTGACGGACTCCAAACTAGCAATATTTTTCAAGTGATCTTGAACTTGTTGTTCCAAGACTGCCTTTGACTTGATGAGATTTTCATTATCCGCCTGCAATGTGCAAACATATTTTTTCAATCCAGCTTCGCGTTCATTTCGCTTCGTTGTTACCTCGTTATACTTTGCCATTCCGTCCCCACATTGATCAATATAACCGTCTTCACAGGGGGGATCACGAGATACATGCTCGGGGGTCGCGACACGTTCTGCATCTTCAACACGTTCTGCATCTTCAACACGTTTTTCAACAAGAAACGTAGACGAAGAAGCAATAATAGTGTCTACGAGTTTTGCCAGAACTGCGTTATCCGAATTTTCGATATCGTCATCATCGATATCATTATCCATGGCAAGTTCTGTGTTGGCATCATTAACCTCATCAAATAGGAATAGTCTTTGACATTCATGTGGCAGGGGCTCAAGTGAGTTATGACGAACCTGTGGTGGTGACCATATAATAATTAAAAACAAGTTGTTATGCCAAGTGCAAATTGCATTTTAATAAAACAGTACCTTGTCCCTATCTATTGATTCCAAAGTGCTTCCTTGAACCATATCAATGATAGAAGAAATATTCCATTTTCTGAATCTTGGAAAAGCATTGACATATTTAAGTAGTACCAACGATGATCTCTCGGCGAGCCAATACTACGAAAAATAAATAAGATAATTAGTAAAAAAATCATTGCAACTTGAAATTTCAATGAAACTGCATAATGCTAATGCTAATAACTAATGGAATTTAATCACCAGTATCAGCAGGCTGCATCCAGTAACCGACTCTGGGTCATGAGTTTGCATTGAATTCAGAAAGTATGAAGTTATCTCTTGCGCCCAATTGTAGTTAATGGTGTTATCCAAATCTTCAACATACTTGATCCATGACCATGGAACCACATCCCCTCCGGTGGTGAAGAAGAAATTGACCATTAGAAACAGCAGAACGATCCTCGTCACATCTTCGATGTCATGTTCTTGGTTTTTCTTCATCAATTGATCCAGGGTTGCATTCAGATGTTTAACTTGTAGCCGCTTCACGGATTGAAAGTGCCTTGCTACGATGCCATCCCTCGGTTTATGACTGCTTTTTTTAAACGTTATATTCATGCCGGTGGTGCCGCTTTTTACCCCAAAAATCAATTGGCACTCAATAGGGCTTAACTGAAGCTCTTTTCCACCAATTATAAATCGACGTTTATTTTTGTCGTACGTCACGAGAATTTTATATATTTCTTGTACAGACTTACGGACTTCCTGCATAGGGATCTCTCTCCTCATACACGGCGGTATAAATTCCGCCAACGCGGTCCTTTGAACCCCTTCAACCTGACGTTCATTGACATTATATTTTTTGAA